TATGTAACTTTTGATTTTGTAACGCGAAGAACGCGTACAGGTCCTTGACGGTCGGTTGTCGTATTTTGGTAAACGCGGATTAGCCGTGTTACGATATTTGGCTTTGAATTCGTACGGTACGCGAAGTACCCGTTACTATTGTTTGATTGTATTTTGGTTTTGTCTTTTCGATCTATATTAATTACTATTTCTTTTGTAAATAATTACTTCGGTATTGTAAGAGATCGTCGCACTTCACGTCGCCGATTTTAGTTAATAAACCGAACCATTTCTTTGAGATCGAAGTGTCCGAATGATTTTGTGTGTCGCGTGATCGTCTGACCCATCCGACCTATTGTTCCGAATCCCGCCGCCTCCGCGTAGCTGAGTTAGCCAACGCAGGCACGCGAAGACATATCGTAGAAACTGATACGTGGTTCCCGTTTTGGAACCTGGCGCCCAACAATACCTTAGGTATTTCGAGAGTAAAAATTTGTTAGCCCCTGGGTTGCCTGGAACGCGTAGGAATCGCGTAAAGTTGTGCGCCGATCGGTCTTGCATTTTCCGGTGAGGTCGATCGCGTAAAAATACGTCACAATATATAATATATATTATCGCACTTGAAATTGTGATATATTTGCTAAAAAGTATCAGTGAATATGAAAATTGCATAATTTAATTCTACGATTTGGACGACGAATCGCACAAACCAACTGCAAGAGAAATGACGAAACCTCAAGACTAAATAGGATAATTGAAACTGTAGTATGGCCAGAGTCGTGTGGCTCATTGGCAGGCCACAAACTTGCACACAGTATTCAGACTTGCCATCTTACGATTTAATAGAGTGAACTATCGATGACCGTCTAAGTTTCCTGAGGAATTGCAGCTTAATGCACTAATTGATCTATCTAGCAAATTCCTACATATAAATTCCTACTTGCATTCCTAAGAGCATCACGAAACTTTTTAATATTACCTATTGAAAATCAACATTCACGTGCTTGACGCTTGTCACTACCGGGATGAAACGGAAATCCATTCCTCCACCCCCCTTACTGTGTAACTTGACGCGAATTACATCATAACGCAGGAAAAGCTCGCGTTCATTAGTACCCAACTAGTAAGATTCATGTCTTGACGGTTCCGAGACAGTCGGTTCACACTGCGACCCACGGTAACCCTCCTCGCCCCCGTCTCTCGGTCAATAACGCGACAATGTACAAGAGACAAATTCAACCTGTAAAATGCCCTATTCAAGACTCTATTGTACCCATCAAGTAATTCGATTCTCGTTGAAAGTTTGAGCCTCTGGAGGTCAGGAGCACCGGTCCGAATTTTCTCCCTGGTGCACACACTAGGTACGAGCTCCCTTCCCTCCTACCTTCGTGCCTCCACGCACGATGATAACTCCCTGCCTACTTTATCCCGCTCCCACAATCTCTCCTCGTGAACGACCTAGACCTTCATTTTTGGTCCGGACGAAAACAAATCTGATTTAAACAATATTTATTTTGAACCCAAGAAATCTTAAAAACTATAGCTCGTTGCATCGGGAACAATTCATTAATATTATGACACATAAAACAGATTGCAATTACCTATAAATCAAATTTAAAGAATGTTTATAGCAAAAGCGACTGATTGATCTGCAGGTAATATATTCATAAACGATTTCCAACCTTAATTTTTTGCCAAGACAAAATTTATTAATACGACTCTTCGCTCGCCAAATAGAAACTCACGAGAATTGAGTTCCGGGGCGGTACAGTAGAAATAAAAATTGTGAAGTATAATCCGCGTTAAACCTGGTATACTCCCTTCGGGAATGATTGATTGTCGTGGCCTATTTTATCGTGGCTCACCGTGTCAAGAATTAATTGCTCGCCTGTATCCTGCTGGAATTAAATCGGGAGAAACCCGCCGAGTTTCTTAATGTTTTTCAAGACTGCTCGTCCCGCCGCTCATGTTCATCGAGAAAATATGCCCAATGACAGACAATAACAACTAGTCAACATAAATAATGAGCTGCCGACAAGTCAATATGATATAGTTGACACTAACATTTTCCATCAGTGTAATATACAAATCAGACATAAGCACATCAGTAGTGACTTAGTAAACAATGGGAAAGCGCTGTTATCGAATGGTTTGTGCTTTTAATTTCTCCAAAGTGATTATTAATTTAAAGGGGCAATCAAAAAGTCAGCATGACGAACCTGGCATTAAAATTTTCATATCAAATAGATATGCATATATCGACAGTGTTCATGTGAACAAAAGATGGAGTTAGTATGTCACTAACGGTGAAACACCGTGAAATTTCAAGTGTCACTAAATAATAAAGGAATAACAAAGCTGGAAGCTTGTTTATCACTCATAAAAGAATTAAAAAATATAAACAAAGTTTCATTGGATTTTATACGATATTGCATTATATACGATATATAATAACAATCTCTGAAATATGCGAATTTATTAATAATTGTAATGCACGAGCAAAAAGGAAGAGGAGCCGTCGTCGCATAAATTGAAGACTGTCCAGAAGGGGTTTGAAAGAAGTAATTAATGTAGGTGAAGCAGTAATTAAAATCCTTTAATGTGCACCATCTTGCTTCTTTAATATTTTCTATAGTCTTCCCTAATGGCTTCATGAGAACAGATTTAAGGTGCAAGATTTTAAGACAATGAATTGTACGTTTTCCATAAAAAATACTTGATGTTACCTGCAAACACACAGTTGTGTCGGTTTTTACTATTTAAAATAATAATGCTATTGACTATTAATAATAATAATATAAACATACGCTACAAGATGTACTAAAAGTGTACGCGGTCTACATGCACAAAAGGATACTTGTAAGCAAAGTAAGAAGAGTATTTTTCTTATGTATTAAATTATTATTATTTTTGTTGTTGTTATTATCAAGAACCTTACTACTCACGTATGCTCGACAATGCAAAATGACTTAAATAATAAAATTATCTGACTGTATTAGTTCACATGAATATAATATAACAGCAATGGCATTGCATGTAGCAGTTATGAGCTTCATCTTCAATTAAAATTCTATATATTGTCTGTTTTGTATATTTAAACAATTATGTATAAAATGTGGACTAATATTTCTTTGGTTTAATAGCAAGATTGAAGTATAAACTCTCAGAGAATTATTTTATGACGCATGACGTTATATCAGTAATTAGTGGTATGATGTTTAATGTTTAAAGTATGAAAATATAGCATCATAAAGAAAAGCCGCCATTTTACAACTGTCATAATGTCATTACTGGAACTTTGTATTAATACCCGATGCAGTATTACTTCAGTGGCACTTGGGTAAGCTCATTGACCAATGAGAATGGTCAAAGAGAACCTTAGATATTATTTAAGATATGAGTATAGTTACAAATACGAAACGAAAAGAAAAGCAATTAAAAATGTCAATTAAATTATTTGATAAAAACTCACCTTTTTCAAGAGCTTCGGCCGATTATCAAGTTGCTGCAGTTGCTCGGTGTTAAGCCCCGTCGAGGTAGATGCAGAGGATCCTCCAGGATCGGAAATTTGATTGGCCTTAAAGAGTTTTGACTGTTCGACCCTCTTCCTGAGATTCTCCAAAGCCCTGGCCTCCTCTCGTTTACGGGATGGCGGCCAATTCGGACCGGAAGTATGAATGATACTGATACCGGCACATGGTGATTCCTGTCGACATTTTACTTTGCGATATTATTTGCTGTATTATTCTCTCGAGTCTCACAAGTGTTTACGAGTAGTTTTTGACCATTAAATTTTTACGAGTCCATTGTGGTTTTTTCTCGACTCTCTGACAGAATCATCTCAACAATCATCTGACAGAAATTTGTCGACGCTACCGTGAATTATACGTATATGTAGACAGATAGATATAAGGGAAAATAGAAAAGAAATATTACTGCTGTATATGATACGAATACTGAATTAAACACAGTAGTGACAGGCCATACTCATAAGCCTTACAACAGCTGTTTTTGTAACGGTTTTTGCGTGAAAAAAGCAGGAGAAAAAGCTGCGTCAAGCTGCTCATTAATAACCGCACAAATCCAAATGTAAATGCTCAGATAAGAATACCATGATTAACTAAAAGTATACTATTAAAGAGGAATATATCTACTAGAAGAAATCTACAAAAAATCAATTTAAGTACCGCATCAGATTCCAATTAGTACTAGAAAGAAAAGCGGTAAACCATTCGCAGCCTTTAATGGTTACAATTATCCTAGACACTTCCTACAGCTACGAGTAGAACAAGAAAAAGAAAGGAACACAGCGTATCGAACTATTCTATTTCATTAAGCTGCCAATCCTAGTACCAAATATCGAATCAAAAAAATACATGCCAGAGTAACGAGTAAAATAATGATGAAAAAGCATTCTAGCAGACTAGAAACTGTCGCACGTTTTTCCTAGTAATTTCACATGAAAGCAATAAATCAAACTGAAAATATGTTGTAAAGCTGAGGCTGTACGTGTACAAGTATACATATGTGCTGGAATTGTGATTCGTGTTCCTGGAAGTGTATGTACAACGTCGCATCTAAATAAGGATTACGCCACCTTCTGATGGTGATTGCTGTTCGCAACGTTAAAGTCGGCGAGATGTGCGGTCTGGCTGAGAAGCCGCCGACTTGCTGGGCATCGGTTACGGTTGATGATCTCCTTCTGAATGGCGTACTCCATGAAGTAGCTCTCGTTGTCGTCGTGACGGGACGGCAGGAGCTCCGCGGTTTCATCGGCCGTCGCGACGTTCATCTCGCGAAGCTCCATCGTAACGGCTGAGCACCGCAGGAGCACGCTCTGCGATTCCGACTGCTACCACTGCTGCTGCTGCTGCTGCTGTCTCTTCATCTAACACTATAGAAAAATCGTCCATCCCCTCCAAGGCGACACGTCTCACGTGACTTCGTATCTACCACCGTTGATGTTTACCCCTACCCTTTGGTTAGGTTCGAGTGGGAGTATCACCCCCACCACTACTTCGCAATAATGATGTACATGACTGTTGTTGATGCTTAACCACTCACGAAGTCTTCGGTAGTATAGTGGTCAGTATCCCCGCCTGTCACGCGGGAGACCGGGGTTCGATTCCCCGCCGGAGAGAAATTTTTTTCTTTTAGTTGAAATATAACTGATTATCTATAAAGATCTGTATAATGTGATTGATTATCATGATTTAATTATAATGATTCAAATGACGTTTATATTTATGTTGGAATTATGCTTCAAGAGACAATGTTGGATATAATTGAAATTGTATTCCTTATATCATTAATCTTAATTTAGTTAACTATAATCGGAGGTACGATTTATATATTTTTAGTAGAATTTCGAAAATAATGTAGATATACGTCATTGATCAAAAAATGGACTCGTTTCAAGTATACATACCGTATTAAATGTAAAGACTAGTTTATTACCTTCAATAGTATCCATGATAGTCTAGTGAAACAGTTTTACTGTTATTTCTTACTCAACGATAGTATGTATGCACTGCACACTTCAGTACGGAAATGAAATGGCAACTGAGGGTAATGGTAGTTTTTCTGATAAATCTGTAAAATTTTCACGATAGCATTGTAAATTTTTGTGAAGACACTTTCAATTGCACAACGGGCCTAACTACTAGCATCTTTTGAATCGTTATGAATCGCAATTTATTATTACCGTAAATGTTTCAAATTATCATGTTTTTAATATTTATACTCACAGCAATAACTAGCAGCAGTATCAATTATGAACCACGTTTAAAACATAGGAACAACAAACTACAGCAATATTAACAATTAAATATGTACATAGTAGGTAGGGATTGTAAATATTACGCAAAAGAGCACACTGCCTATTCCACGTAAATTCCTTAATATTAAAGAGTCCTCGTATCATTACTACAATTCTTGTGTTATTGTATGTAGATAATACAGTAATAACAAGTAATATCATGTCAATTTTTACCGCTCTCAATTTGCAGATTTTTCTTGCACCTAGTATAAGATGTAAGAACGTGTAAGTTCAAATCATCGCATTTTAACCACTTTGAGCGTTACCTCGAGTATATTTAAGGTAAATACTATTGATGTGCTATAAAATAAAACCGCAAAGGGATTAAGGACTGTATGAGAAAATGTATCAATTGAAAACTTACTAGGCAGATTACACATTTATTTCCCGTGCAATAAGTATAGCAGATCGTAAACCCTATTTGTATTGTTTACAGGTTACATGATCTCTATGGAATTTCAAATGTATTTAAATACGTAACGTGCGCTGTGCTAACAATAAGACGCTTTTATGCTTTGATACAGCAGGTCTGAACTTGCTACGATTTATGGTGAACCACTTAACAACAACGCTTCCGCACAATTGTTTTTGTCTAATAAAATGTATTTCAATTGTATCAAATGTCCAATACATTACTATAAGTACTTTTCATACAAGAAAATGTTAAGCGATGTATCAGAAAGAAAAGACAAAATATTTCAATACCTAAGTCGCTATGAGTTGTATATGTAGTTAATGTTTCATTAATTTAACATTAAATAGTTTGTCTTTTTATGATCATCATAAATAACTTTTGACATTCTACTCTATGAATTTCCTTATTAGAAGTCACATGCTGTAATGAGTTTAATTTGTATTAATTTGTAATACATATATGTATGCATATCGTGTAAGAAAGCTTTGACAATTCATTATGTTCAATGTTGTCAAGCTGTAGCTGAAATACCAATGTTCAAAATTTATGGTTACTCTTGCATTATAAATCGCCAAAGGGAAAAAAGTCATACCGTCCTACCGGAAATACTGCTGTCATCTAGTGGCAAAGATAGAAAACAGCTTTCTATTGATCCTGTAATCATTGCGCAAGAAAAATCAAGTGGGTGATAAAATTTGATAATATTCAAAAACATACAACAGTCACAATTATAAATTAAATAAATATCCTTCTTTATTCAATTGCAGATACATTAAAATACTGCCTGATGAAACCTTAAAACCCTTGACATATTTATAGTCTTTACTATTTTACAGTTTTAGATAAAATGTTGCCGTTTAAAAAATATCGACAATTAGAATTATTTAATTTATTTAGACGATTACACATTTGCTTTCATACATTAAGTAACTCGGTTATTAGATATCAACGGTATCAATGATCAGATACATATATATTATGTATATGAATTATTTTTGTAATTTATAGTAAATAAATGATTGATTATTAATCATTAAATATAATTGTACTTGGGGCAAGACTCTACTGAGTCTCTTCTTTGAACTCATGTCTTAAAATAATTTGTCTCAGAGTGACACTTTCCAGAACAACGCTCATATCGCGTATAAAAGCTATGTTAGATTATCCAGAATATCATCTAACATTTCTTTTAGGTGATCGCCAAATGATATTCTATTGTTTGGCAGATCAGGAACTGCACATTGTTCTATTAAATGTGATAAATTTGGATATTTCTCCAATATCGCGACTGGTATGTCATGTAATAAACCCCCAGGAATTGAAGTTGCGCTAGTTTTTTCAGAGAGTAAATGCTGAAAACAATAATACATTAAAAACTCCAATGAAAACAGTTAAATCATATTTCAGTTACATGCGCTTTGACAAATATTGAATCAATCTATATTCAATAAATTGCATGTAATATAAAAGAGTACTTTATATAGATTGTCCTCAAGAAATTCAATTAGATTTTCACATTCATAAGTTCAATGACATGATTCATAGTGATAATATGGAATGCTATTAAGAATCAAACACGTTTTATTATTTTCCAACATTTTTTAACTCACTTGGCATACAGCATAGTAATTATGATCACTCAATTGATGACTGCAGATATCCATAGGAGAAAAAGTCAAACAATTTTGGCACTCAAAGTCAAAATTGTTTGTGTGTATCTTATGCCAATCGTTTATGTCATCTAAAGTTTGAATGAGATAAAGATAATCATTATAAATTTGAAAAAAATAATAAAAAGTTAGAGAAATGTAAATATAACAATTTAAATGAAAATCTTGCTAACTTTTGGTAGATAGTTTCTTATCCACAACAATAATATTTTCCAAGTCAACGAACTTTATCTCATATTGGGAGTCCACAGCAATATTCTCAGGTGAAATATCTGTTAGATAAAATCCAAAGTCTGGATTTCGAAAAGTGAACATTCGAGCAGCTCTCAATAATCTTGAAGCAATTTTAGCTCTATGCATCCATGATTCAGAATGAAAATTATTTAATGGCTGACCAGCATATTCCTCGAGCACAAGTCTCCCACAAGCTCCTAAGTATTTTGGTACTGGCCACGCATTATCTATGGAGAGAATCTGTACAAAGAAATATATTTAAATGATGCACCGATACAATATTTAAAAATGATGTAAGACTGTATTTTACCTGAAGAATAAGAGGTTCTGGATTGATCTTAATCATGGTCCACAAATATGCCTGTGATACAATTTTCTTGTCATTACCACTGTTTGCAAATACATTATAGAAAAGAAGATCTATTCGATCAGTAGATGGGCATAATCTAAGCCGACTGCCATCCACAGTTTCATAGTCTAAAGATATTTCTTTGATTATGCGAGAGTAGAAGTCTATATTGTGTGTCTGGGCTTGGTTTATATTCCTGGGGCAGATGTCTATTAAATTAGGATCAGTACAAAGGTCTGTATCGAAAGCATCCAATTCTGCAGTATGTGCCAGCTTCTTAAGAACTATTGGTTTTATTCCATTGGTAGCATAATATACATTTTTGGTACTGAACAAATTGGCAAATACCATGTGAAGACTAGAATATTCAATTTTTATTTTGTTTTTAAAAATATTGCTACAGGCTGAAACACCATAGCAAGCAGGACACTTGTGAAGTTCTGTCAACTGCACTACACTAACATTCAGTGTATCCATAAATATCCTTATACCTAAGGCTAGAGATAGTAATCCAAAGATAAGAAGAGCTTTCCACTTCCGAAATCTTATTATCTTACATATATATAACATGATGAAAAGTTGGGACCATTCCAACTATGAGTGAGTATACAATATATAGTTACAGAAAATATTAGTATTTGTTTATGAATGAACAAATTTTATTTTTTTTTAAAGATCCAATTATCCACTACGCAAGTCTTGTTGCACGGTATCATTTGAATGTATAAGCAATTGACATATGCACATCAAAATGTATTGTAGATAACAATATATGTATATGTATATACAATCAATTTTTGGGTTATGTACCGTCAGTTGACGATATCACTTTCCTCTTTACATTATGTATTAGAAAATAAACGCAGTTAAACTGTTTAATTTCTATATCTTTGAGCTGTTTCAGTGAATCCACTTGCAAATTGACACGTTATAGAGAGTGGTAACTACATACTCTTTACTCATTTTTCGATTAGCCATGATATATATATATTTTTTTTTTTGTATACATATATATATACCAATAAACAATAAACAGTTGTTAAATCGAATATTATTCAAACGTAGGTAAAATTTTTAATTATTTTACATATAGCCCTGATCTAACATCCTGCGACTTTGTATTATTCCTTTATATTCCGTAACACTTGAGAAGACGTCATTTTCAATAGAAAGGCAGCCATACCTACAGTGGCGAACAAAAGTATGAGGACAGGAGTACAAAACAGATCAGTTTTATTCAACGTAATGATATTTACAAAAAAAAGATCGATTGCTAACAATTCAGAAGCCAAAAAAATTATATTTCTTTAACTGTCTATTTTGAAAAACGACTTCTGTTAACAGCCTTCGCAATTTCTGCATACTATTTATTTTGATTTCAAGTTTAATATGATTTTTCTTTCGAAGACGGTAGTTTCTTGTCCTTTACGTCCCATTACTAGTTTTCAACTACGTTTTAACTTATTTACAGCTTCCTGCGGATTTAGTTCTTATCGCGAAAACGTAGGGACTCCCGTTTACTTGTACAAAGAAATATAATTTTTTTATGCTATTGAATTGTTTGCAATCGATCTCTTTTGAATAAAATGAAGTATGAGATATGTATTATTACGTTGAATAAAACAGATCTAATTGGCACTCTTTTTGTTATCCTACAGCCAGAGATGAGTAGGGAGATTGCCAATGAGCCTGTTTTTGGTGATGGCAATTTTTCTCTGGTTTCGGCGCGTCACCTTAGCGGAGGTCCCTCGAAGCAGTTCCACGTTTTTGATTGGTCGTGTATATATAGTAATACTACACGTGATAATCTGAAGCTGTGTTTTGGCGCGTCGACGCGCCACCTGAACGAGACTCTCGAACTAGTTCCACGTTTTTGATTGGTCGAATGAATTCGTGTGTTCCTCGAGATCCGCGATTTTAAACCGGGTGAACACTCAAATAGGGAGACTTATCCACCTTTTTTTTT